TAGATAGATAGATAGATAGATAGATAGATAGATAGATAGATAGATAGGAGCAACGGTCTCAAGTTGCAGTGGGAGAGGTCTAGGTTGGATATTAGGAAACACTATTTCACTAGGAGGGTGGTGAAGCACTGGATTGGGTTACCTAGGGAGGTGGTGGAATCTCCATTTTTAGAGGTTTTTAAGGCACGGCTTGACAAAGCTCTGGTTGGGATGATTTAGTTCAGTAGTTCTCCAACTTTTGTACTGGTGACTCCTTTCACATAGGAAGCCTCTGAGTGCGACCCCCCTTATAATTAAAAATACTTTTTTATATATTTAACACCATTATAATTGCTGGAGGCAAAGCGGGGTTTGGGGTGGAGGCTGACAGCTTGTGACACCCCATGTAATAACCTCGCAACCCCCTGAGGGGTCCTGACCCCCAGTTTGAGAACCCCTGATTTAGTTGGTGTTGGTCCTGCTTTGAGCAGGGGGTTGGACTAGATGACCTGCTGAGGTCTCTTCCAACCCTAATCTTCTACGATTCTAAGATTAGATAGATTAGATAATTATGTCTATATATAATCTATGGGTTTTGTGGTTATTTTACTGATGCATAAAAGGTTTCTAAGAGTTAAATCCTGCAATAAGCCACAGCAATGGTTGTAAACACAATGCAACTGCCTGCTGCTCATATAGATAATACAAGGAAACCACTATTTGCAGACTGCTTCAGCTCCCCTCTGGAGAAATCCATAAACTAATTAAAACCAGGGTCAGAGTCCCAGGTCAGAAAAAAGGTAGTTTGAATTGGATAAAATATGACAGGCACGCACACAGACTTGTGGGGGGTGGGGCTGTCCAAGGGGCAGCAGTTGCAGGAGGCATCCTGCCTCACCCAGCCTCAGTGCTTTGGGGGAGGGGGAGGAGGGAAGCGGTGCCTGAGTTAAGCAGAAGCCTGAGTTAACCTGTCAAGGAAAGGTTAAGTTTTGGCTAAGACATTATGCATTTAGGCTTTTGTTATTTTTAACTCGTTCTCTCTCCTTGCAATCTTCTATGGATAAATAATTCAACTCTCTTTTGAACACTGCTTTTACTAGCTGATCACAGCTCCTGGAAAGGATTCCATAGCAGAGATGAAATCCAGATGGACCTGCTGGAGATAAATATGTTTGGGTGAGATGGAGGTAAATATGGTTGGTAAACAGGGAGTGCTGTAGCTCGGGTGATCCAGTTTAAAAGTGGGGTGAACCACCCGATTCCATTCTCAGAGAAGTGTATGCAAACTGCACTTGAAATAAGTGCCCTCACACTTGAAAGAAGTGCCAACAGAGAGATTTAGAGAGATCACAGGTGCAGCTCATCCCTGAACTATAACAATTTGGAATCCCCTTCATCTATCACTGAAATGTAGCCATCTCTGGCATGAGACACAATAAGTGTTTTTCAGAAAACAGCAACTCATCAATGTCAGAGCCCAAGTGATGGGCGTTCTTCTATAAAAACAATTCATTGATAAGATAGAACAGATAGTGAAGAACAATACTATATGTTATCTACACTTCAGGGGCAAATAACATAAGCCTAAATATCCAGAATGTAATTACCTAAGTTGGAAATTGGTCAAGCTATGGTGACTAATGATTTTTTTCTTGTGAATTTTCATGAACACCTGAAGGGTATTTTGACTGTTGTGTTGCACCAAATTTTCTCCTTAAAGATCCCTGATCAGTGCAGTCCAAAAGATGTGTTATTTGAGTGAATTTCAGATCCTTCAGTCTCTGCTGTCAAAGGGGATGACACATACTGCTCAGATTTGAACTAACACTAATGGCCACTCAATTTGTCAAAGAGAAAAAAAAAATCCTGGGAGATGCAGATCGATGCTCACAGCTGAAAGTCACGCCCATATTTCATTTCCTTCCCATTCCCATTCTGATGGCTGTACCATCGAACTTTTGGAAGCTAAGACAGGAAAGACTTCATTCATCATGAAAATAACAACCATTAAACTTTACTTTATCTTGTCAATGAAGTATGTACTGGCCCATAACTGTGTGGGTTAATCAAGCATGATAGGAGCGAGAAACTGTCAAAGAACCCCAGTTTAGCAGTTGGATGAGGCAAATTCTCCCCAGTGAGTATAATTTGATGCATTTGCCGTATTGTTACAACACTAATCTCCCCTCATGTTGAAACTCTAAAAGCTGCAACTGTGGAAAAAATAAATCTATATAGCCACCCAAAGAAATATAGGTTAAGTGCATTGTAGGGAGCAATCATGTACTGTAGGAAGCTATCCTGCTTTGGCAGGAAGATGGACATAACAACGTCAAAGGACATTTCCCACTTCTAAGGCCAGATACACTAGTGTGGTGTATCTGCTTTGCTCCATGTTGTCAGTAGATTCTTGCTGTATAGTTGGCATAACTAGCCATGACAGGATCACCCCATTGTAAGGGGATACCCTAGTGGCATAGAGGTTCTTACAACATCTTTCCTCTTTGCTGTTTGCACACTTGGCATGGCTGGAGGAAAGGGATGTGGCAAGGATACCCCTTCACTGAGCTGATGTTTGGCTGTGGTTTCAGATTCTTAGGAACTAGCTCAGCATACAGAAGTGCCAGTATCAAGGCAATGCAAAGGTGAGTTTTGCAGCACCTCTCTATATCCTTGTCCTGACTTGTGCTACCAGTTCCTTGGTCACAGCTGAAGCCCCAACTCTAATACCACTTATGCAAGCCTGTGTGCCCTATAAGCCCATAGGTTTCGGTCTAGTGCCTTAAATTATAAAACGAGCATTAGACTGAAGAATAAACGTTCCTGGACTTAAATATGGGGCATGATAGGCTAGAAAATCTAAAGATATCTGAAAGTCACTTTGCCAGACTAGTGCATGTTCCTTACAGGCAGGTAACTCACAATGAAAAAGCAGCTATATTTCCAAAAGAGATAACAAGCACAAGGTAGGTAACAAAAATCCATCTATCTGCTAGCATAAACTTGCATGACCAGTTGTGGTAGCAATTACATACACCTCTACCTCGATATAACGCTGTCCTCAGGAGCCAAAAAATCTTACTGCGTTATAGGTGAAACTGCGTTATATCGAACTTGCTTTGATACACTGGAATGCACAGCCCTGCCCCCCGAAGCACTGCTTTACCACGTATATCCGAATTCGTGTTATATCGGGTCACGTTATATCGGGGTAGAGGTGTATTTCTTGAGTAATTAACCATTTGGGGAATTTTTCAAGGTTTTATTTCCAAAAGCTCCTAACTCATAAAAAAGAACCCCCTTATAGAAACAAAACTGTGTTTGCATATCTGTTAGAAATCCAGGTTTATTCTGTTTTAGTATCTGCTCAGTGTGTGAGTAGTGTGTTCATTATATAATCTCTGCTAACGAACTACTGGTAAGATGCCTGGGTGAAACATAAAATACAGCACATCATAATTTTTTAGAAATGCAATCTCCCAAATACCTGATATAACTATACAAAAGACAAAACGGTGTGTGCTGTGACTATATTATGCCTACCACTCAGAGACTCGTACACTTAAAAATCGATCCCCATATGTTGAAAAAAGGATCTTTAAGAATACCTACATATATAAACAAATTATTCCAAGTTATTTGCCTCAGACACATCTTGCAAATGCTGACACTTATGTAGAGGAGCACATAACATAATATTTATATTTTAACTTTTACATCTCATTTGAAAGATTGCACCTTCAACAATACAGTACCCTTTAATACAATCATGGAGTATATTGGTTCAGTGCCTACAAATAGGCAGAGGATTGACAAATATTATCATACAGTTTGTGGATAATTGATATTGAGAATATTAATTAAAGAACCCAAAGTATGACACTGGAAATCATGTCTGTATTTTGTTCCTATGAATATAATTATTGTTATACCCCAATGTGTTTATTGTGACATTGAAGCACTTATCTACATGTGCTCACTCAGTCAGTCCCAGCAGCTTGCTAACAGGGGTGTGAAGGTGCATGTGGATCAGGCCTGCTGACAGCAATTCTGGGCCCCAGGGCAGAACAGTTAATGGGCCCCTACACATGCACAAGAATCACAGAATATCAGGATTGGAAGGGACCTCAAGAGATCATCTAGTCCAACCCCCTGCTCAAAACAGGACCAATCCCCCAGACAGATTTTTTGCCCCAGATGCCTAAATGACCCCCTCAGGTTTTGAACTCACAACCCTGGGTTTAGCAGGCCAATGCTCAAACCACTGAGCTATCCCTCCCCCTGACAAGCTGCGCCCACGCATGACATTTGGGCAATGCTGCCAGCTCCGTTGCTGGTGCCCAGCGAGCTGCTGGCTGCAGTGCTGGGAGCGCTCTTCTGGAATGGCCAGGGCTTCCAAATGCCCACCTAGTAGGGTTGCCAACTGTCTAATCGCACAAATCCAAAGACCGATAGCCTACCCCCTACCCTGCCCCTTTCCTGAGAACACGCCCCATCCCACCCCTTCTCTGAGGCCCGACCCCCTGCTCACTCCATCCTCCCTCCCTCCATCGCTCGCTCTCCCCACCCTCACTCACTTTCACCAGGCTGGGGCAGGGAGTTGGGGTGTGGGAGGGGGTGCAGGCTCTGGGAGGGAGTTTGGGTGCTGGAGGAGGTCCAGGGGGAGGGCTTCGGGAGGGAGTTTGGGTGTGAGGTGAGGGCTCTAGGCTGGGGTAGGGGGTTAGGGTGCAGGAGGGAGTCAGGGGTCAGTGTTTACCTCAGGCAGCTCCCAAAAGCGACTGGCACAGCCCTGAGGGGGGGGTCTCCATGCGCCGCTGCGCGCAGTTCCCAGCCAATAGGAGCTGCGGAGTTGGCACTCGGGGCAGGGGCAGCGCATGGAGACCCCCCCTCAGGGGCCACAGGGACATGCTGGCCGCTTCCGGGAGCAGTGTGGAGCTGAGTGAGGGGGCAGGTCTGCCTTAGCCCTGCTGTGCTGCCGGCAGCAGCTGGGGGCCCCTGGGCCCTTTTAAATCGCTTGAGCCCCATGGCAATTGCCCCCCAACCCGTCAGCGGGCCTGTGTGTGATACTTTGAACAAGCACTACAAACTAGGTCATTATGTGGGCTTACATGTCTGATTGCTGATTTTTCCCAACCGGAGAAAAGATTAAAAGTGAGGAACACAAGACAAGAAGTTCATGAAAAAGCTTCAAATTATGTGGGAAATGCTTTTATCAACACAATTTCAGGAGCCTACATTAAGGTGTAAAAAAAATGACAATACTAAAAAGCAAGGTAACACATACTCTGTGTGACACCGAAATAAACTTGTCCCTAAAACACATGATAATATTCATAATAAGATTGAGCTTCTTTTTCAAGCATCATCATCCCTAAGGTTGTATTTGATATTTGATGCTTAATAGAGAAAACCGTGTTCCTTAGCCTGTGTCATAAGATTAATTTAAATATGCACAAAATCATTTATAACAAACCTTCTTTTATCCCCTCTGTCATACAACATATTGAACAGAAGAGTGAAATCTTCACGTGTATATAAAATATTCCAACTTATTGTTAGAAAAAAATGTTATTGTATGACCCAGTCAAGCCTTGTGCCTGTCTGGCTTGATTCACTGGGATGACATTTTATATAAAGATTAGCAACATTGAAGGAAGCTTTCCATTTTCATCACTTGGACAGACACATATTCACATGAATTAAAAAAAACAACTAAGAAAAGTTTCTAGAAGAGCCTGAGGAATTTCAGACTAGTACTTCCCAAATTATTATAAACAGGTCAATAATTATATGTCAAATTGAGAACAGTTATTTTATTTTTGTTGTGCTGGGGGGGGAGTATGATACATTCACTAAAAAATAAACAGCTTACTTCTGTTTGCCCCACTTTTTAGCAAAATCTCAATAATGAGCTCTCAAATGTGGAAAATAAGTTCCACTGTATTTCAGCACTGAAGAGTGTCTCAGCCAATTGTGGCAACCTGCCTTTATTGATCATACGTGTTCACTTTTTGTTTGTATTTTTTGATGGGCCAATAGGAACAAAGATATTAGTTTGGAAAGCAAATGGTTATAGCAAAAGTATCCAAGCCAAATAGAACAAATAATTATTGTCAGTAAATCCATTTCTGTGCTATTTTTTTTGTAGTTGAAAGGTGTTAATGATTTGACATAACTCACGGTAAATAAATTTTTTGGCAAAGCTGCTGAATTAAGCACTGGAAAAGGGATGGGCGGGGGGAATCTCTTTGAAAAGCATTGCCCAGAACACTCCTCCCCCCATTTCTACACATGACTCTTCTGTCATTAGTCTACAATATTGTACCCTTTTGTTAAATCAACAGCAAGGACATCATTTTTAGGTGATTTCCTAATTAGATTCCTTTATAGAAAAGGGGGAACCATAACACAGTTATAATTTGCTCTCTACTCTCAACAAATTGTGGAACTGACAACAGAAACAATCCTGAAGTAAGCTGTATTATGATAATACCAAAGAGCAGCTCATGCTTGACAGAGGGAGCATCCTTCCTACCTTCCCTGCAACTACATCATCCAGGGCAAAATTGTCCCTATGATTAGTTCATTCACTGCTATACTAACGCTGCACAAAGCCAGAAGAGAATAATCATGTCCTAGCAGGTATATTCTCTGGTACATGCAGCATCAGTTTACATATTGCTACTATAGTTCATCATTTAGGTTCTGATCCTGCAACTCGTTGCATGCAAATGGAATGCTGTGCCTACAAGGAGCCACATTGAAGTCAACAGATCTCTGCCCAAGTGCATCAGTTTGCCCAACAATAAGCCTCAATCCTGCAATGAACTTTGTGAGAATGGCCCCATGAAACCCTGTAGAGGCCACAGAAAGTCATTAGGACTGCATGCCATTGCAGGAGTCCACCCACAGAGAGCAGCTTGCAACATTAGGGCTTACATGCATTCTAGTATTTGACAGTAAAAGAAAGGATCAAAAGCTCACGCACTTACCATTCGTATAAGGGTTGACTGTCTTTTTATTTGTCATTACACGTGCTGTCGCGTTATTTACCTATGCACATAGAAAATTAAATTAGTAAATGTTATAGAGAGAGTCTGTGGTACTATTAAATGCATGCATTATTACTGCTATTAGTCATATAAAAATAAAATGCAATTTAATTTTTAAAAGGCAGTAGGTGCATAACAAAATCATACTATATATAATTACATTTACTTTCATAACCATTTAAACTTACAAATCATTTCAATAAAGCAACATCATATCATTTAAACTTTAATAAAGACACATTAAAAGCAAATTAAAAAGGTACTGCATAATTTAAGATTTAAGAGCATGCTTATATTCCATGATAACACTGAAACAATAAATATTTAAAAAAAATATCTTTTATATGAAGGAACATGCAGTGGAGTAGAGGGGGAAGAGACAAGGTACAAGGAAACAAATAAAATGTCAAAAAAAGGGACAAACGAATTTTAGCAGTGTGCAACATAACCCTTTAGAAGAGAAGTACCATTGGAAAAGCAACATCTAGCATTCAACACTTGGAACAAGAGCCTTTTTCATTGCAAGAATTAACAAAATCATTCAAGCTTTAAAATCACAGCTAACAAAAGGATAAAAAGAGGGTGCATTATTTAACACAATATGGAGTTAACAATCTGAGTAAGATGTGCACGAAGTCATATCCTCAATCCAATCAGTGCCTCCCAGGCTTGCTTAAAACGTACACTCAATTACAGGCGTACCAATATAGAAAAAAATATAGCATCAAGAAAACTTAATACAACAAGTCAAAAAAATTCACGTGGTATATCAGCGCTAAATACGTGAAACGGCAGATGGACTTCTCCACTTACCATTCAGCACCATCGCCAGCATGGGTATGTATACAGTTACCATGGTTACTGAGAGTTTGGTGAGGGCCCTAAGCGCTACCGTCGAAGGGGGAAAATGAAAAGGCAAAATATGCAACATCTTACTCAAAAGACGACAGCATTTTCAATTGGTATTTTTTCTTTCTCTCTTTTTTTTTTATTCTAACAAATATGACTCTGAGGCAGTGTTGAAGGGGACCCAGTGGTACCAAAAATATTTGGGTTTGTTTTCTGATGGGGATGGATGGATCAGGCCAACCAGGAAATCTAGCCTGGTGGTTACTCTGAAATGAAACTTCCAAACCAATTGATTTGGTTGTTGTTCTTTTGTTTTACTATTGTCTCTTTTTATATCTTTTGGATGCTATAATCTCCCAATCTGAGTTATTTTGAAAGCCACTGTGGATCCCACATCAACCCTGCATCAAAAAGAAAAAAACCCGACCTTTTGTTTGTTTTTGTTTTTGATTTTTTTGTTTGTTGTTTTTTTGGAATTTACTGCACCCATTGATTTACAAAACATAGAAAATAATAACTTCAAAATATTAAAGCTTTCATTTTGTCTCATTTCTGTCATCCACCTTAGAGCAATAATGATAATAATAATAATAATAATAATCACAAAAGAAATAATAATAAAAAAAACCCAAGTAAGGCCAGATTATCTCTTTATATATAAATATATATATAAACAATGGGAAGGGGAAAGGGGAGCACACAAAAGACACCAATGATGCATCTGAAACAACAAATGAGAGTGAAGCAGACATTTATAAAAAAGATGAAAAGGAAAATATTTTGAACATGCACCTCGATTTTACGGCCCTCTACCACGGTGCCGTGTAATTTCTCCCTCGCCCTGTCCGCATCAGCACTATTTTCGAAAGTTACGAAACCAAATCCCTGCATGCAGGAGGGAGAAGGGGGGAAAACAACATGCACATTATTATTTCAGTCAATGACCACTTGTTTGCTTATGTTCTCTCGCTTTAATTTAATATTTTCTTGTTCTTGCTTCATTTCTGTAACATGCAAATTAGAAAAATTATAATCATACTGAGATGTGCAATAAATAAGCGACAAATGTGAACAAGTTTTTTTTTTCTCTTTCATCAGTTAGATAACACCCCCTGAAGAATTCAAAGAATGATACCAAAGATACCTTTCTCAATGTCACTACAGAGGAAAATAAATCTAACAAAAAAATGAAATCAAAATCAAATTTACAGTGTCTTCACATAGAAAAAATGAAATAATGAGAAAAGAAAGTGGACCACTTTTTAATGACATGCAGATAGTCTCAACAAAATAAAAAAAACGTGGGCACAAAATTCAACACTGAATGCCAATATACTCTAAAACATTGCCTACTTAGTCATGCTGTTGTGATTGTAAGAAACATTTTTCCCATGCAACACTAGGGTTATTTAAACTTTTGTCAAACTGTATAGCCTTTACTTATTTTTTTATAAAAAAACAAAAAAACAAAAAAGAAAAGAAAAAGAAAAGAAAAGAAAACCACCAACAAAAGTGGTACTTTTATAACTAAGCATAAACTTTCTGGTTTTCAAAAGATCAAACAAAATCACATGATGTGAATAGAAAGAAACTTTGATAAAGTAATAAAAATGCAAACATTTTGAATAAGTTTAACTGCTTCATTCGGTATTATTTTTGACATACAGTACATGCAACTGAGACTGTTTACTCTACCTACTCCCATGTTAGTGGGATAGAGTTATGCAACTTTGAGATATTATCATGAAAAAAACTAACCACTAAATACTTCAACACCAAAGGAAGACATGTGTATGTCTTTTCTGCTGCATACTAGTTCTTTGACTATTCTAAGCACTTAACATTCTTATATTAGACTAAACAAAGACTTCCAAGCTTGCTAGCATTCTTTTTTTTTTTGTTGTGCTGAAGCAGATACATACGATTTTAAACTTGGAAAAATTAAAATGCTTCATCTACCACTGACATTGTTGCTAAAATAACTTTAAAAATGACATTTCATTATTTAAAAAACAAAACAAACATTTATACATCATGATCAGAAAATGTACTCCAACCCTTTGAAACAATTCAAATATTGCCAATGCTATGCTTTTACATGTCACCTTCTATAATTTAAGGCCAATTATCCCAATAGAAAAGCACTAACCATGCTCAGTGTTTCAAGTCAACAAGCATGTGCAAAACATACATGATCCTTTATTAAGGACTGTTCCCATTCCAAGTTCTTCTGCTGTATATAAAAGAAATCCTGTCCCAGCCACACACAATTTTCATCCTCATTCACAAAGAATTCTCAGAACAACTTTTTTTGTGCAGTGCTCATCTTTGTTAGGCCTGGTCTACACCTAAAAATTAGATCAATATAACTATGTCTCCCAGGGGTGTGACACAGTTAGGTCAACTTAACTCATACTGTAGATGCAGCTAGCTAACACCTCTTGGAGAGGTGGATTAACTACATTGATGAGAAAAAACATTCCATCAATGTAAGAAGTGTCTGCACTATGGCACTATCGCGCACAGTGGCAGCACCGTAGCTGTGACGCTGTAGCATAGACATGCCTTTAGGCACTTCAAGCAAGAGACGTTATACTTCCACACACCTCTGCCCCTGGCCAGGTCCCCACCACTGTGTTAATAACACACAACATAAACCGTGATGGACAAACTTTATAAAGCCAATCTTGATATAAAAATATATCTATAATTCTGCTAACTAAAGCTGCATCCACTTCCTCAACCAGGGTAACATTATTTCTGAGGGAAACATGGAGTCTCTGTGGCAACATTGCTTCTATGCATAACTTAGTCACCTTCTCCCTCTCCGCCTGGTCCAGTCTATTGTTTAATTTTGCAGTCAATGTCTATCCAACCCAGTAACTCCTTCCCAGCAATCTAACCTATCACTACTTGCCCTGTATTAGCAAAAAGGGTCTGTGGATTAGGAAAGGGGAGGGGCAGAATGTTAAGGGTTTTTTGAGGGGGGGGAGGGAGATATTCAACCCGGCAAAAAAAAATTTTAGCTAAACAGGAACAAACACAAACCATTCAGAATATCACACATACAAAACCAAAATAGTGAATTAATGTGTGAAAAAACATTTAGAAACTATTGGAAATTATCTTTTAAAAGTGGAGATTGGTATTCCTTTTATCTATTCAAGCCATAGATTTATTTATTCTTGTGCATTATGTAGGGAAGTGTGTGTATGTACATGTGTGTATAGCAGTAATGTATGGGTGCAATTTTCCATCCTCTTCTAATTAATTCTCAAACAACATACTGGCTACTTTCAATTGCTATTTACCCACCCATTAAACCTCCGATGTTGGAATAGCTCTGTAAACAAACTCTTAAATTCAAGTGCCACTGAGAAAATTCCTTAGCAGAACCTTATCACTGCAGCCACTGAACCAGTGACCTAAAGCTCACATAATAGTGTAAGTTACTCTAATATTGTCTAACTGTTTGTTCACCTCTCTCCTCCAAGCAGAATAGTCATCTTCCCTGAGTGGCAAGAACTGAAAATTTGGTATGAGTTCTAAGACTGTTAATTATGACCTAGAATTCTAAAAACAGTCTCCTGAGTAAGCCCATTTGCTCGTAGCACCAGTGTGCATTCCAGATTTTTTTTAAATACTGGGAATAAAAGAAACACCCAAAATAAAATATCATAAAGAAAAAAGCACCTTTAGTTAATATTAAGGTGGAGCTACAAGCTAACTAAAGACAAAATATCCAAACATTTAGGAATGTGTGGCAGCTGTCATTTTGAATTCCTTACATTTATTTTTTCTTATGCATTAACATTACTTAAACAAAGCTTTTATACACTTTTTACACTCATATTTTAATTTACAGAAACTTTATCGGATAATAACTTTTATTCATCAGGTGCATAGAGCTCTCTCTCACACACACACACGCATGCACACACTTTTACATATCTATGTACATTCCACACTCAGCATAATTGCAACTAAACAAATATTTATTATTGTACTAATCCATAATATGAGCTGTCAAATGCTCAGATACATTAAAGGACACTGAAGGAAAAACAAACAAACAAACAAACAAACAAAAAACCCTGTACTTGACCATTAACCAAGTTTTAAATGGCAATGCACAGTCTTGTTTTTGATTGGGGAGATGGTTGGGAGTTTTTGTTTGTTTGTTTGTTTTGAAGGGCTAACGGGCCTTATATTATGGACAAATGAGCACATACATGTTTGTAAAATCATTAAATAATTTACAAATATAGAAAGATGGTGTTCGTTGTTGTTAGAGTACTTTTACATCTCTAGAATAAAATCTTACCTTAGCAGCTCTGCAATCATCCCTAAAGGACAAAACCAATTTGCAGCAGCTGTGGAGAGTTACTGAAACCCAGAGCCTCAACCGGTTAGTTAAGGAAGCATGTTCAAGGTTAAAATGCTAGAGCAACGTTACAATGAGTCTGCTTCTGACTGATATAAACTGAATTGCCCTCACAGGATTGGAGTGGGAAACTCGTGAGTTCCCTCAGATTGCCTTCTCTGAGCTTATGTTTCCACTTTATGGCAAAGCACTCCTCACTTAACGTTGTAGTTATGTTCCTGAAAAATGTGACTTTAAGTGAAACGATGTTAAGCAAATCTAATTTCCCCATAAAAATTAATGTAATTAGGGCGGGGTTAGGTTCCAGGGGAAATTTTTTTGCCAGACAAAAGGCATTATATACATTTTAAACAATTTAAAACAAGCAATTTAATACACCCTACAGGTATAAGTTTTAAATAATTTTAAAGAAACAATTTAATAATACAATCATCACTGCTGAGTATGAAGCTTGCTTGAGGTGGTGGAGTCAGAGAGTGGAAGAGGATGGATTGTCCGGCTGCTCCTCTTGCTGTTCTTGCAAGCACAGGCACTGACTTTGCCGGGGGCAGGGGGCTCAGCCCTTGGCCCATCCACCCCACCCTTTCCCCCAAGTCCCCACCCTTGACCCGCCTCTTCTCCCCCCTCACCTCCTCCCCCTTTACTTCGCATGCTGCATCCTCGCTCCTCCCCCTTCCCTCCCCCCTTTCTGAATGCTGCAAGCCAGCTGATTGCGGTGGGCAGGAGGCAGAGGAGGGAGAGGGGAGGCATGCTGCATCCTCGCTCCTCCCCCCTCCCTCCTGCCCGGGGCAATTAGCTGGCTTGCGGCGTTTAGGAGGCAGGAGGGTGGGGGGAGGAGCGAGGACTTGGCACGCAGGCTCCCCCTCCGCCTCCCCCGCTTCCTGCCTGGGGCAATCAGCTGGTTTGCAGTGTTCAGGAGGCAAGGGAGCGAGGGGGAGCCTGCGTGCCGAAAGCCAGCTGATTGCTGCGGGAAGATGGAGGGGGAAGGCGCTGATCCACGGGGTCTGCCAGTGGGCAGGAGGTGCTGGGGGGGAGGGTAGGGAGGCTGCCAGCTGTAGAGAAAGCAGGCAGCCAAACAATGTAAGAGTGGAGCATTGCACAACTTTAAATGAGCATGTTCCCTAATTGATCAGCAATGAAACAACGTTAACCGGGACGACTTTAAGTGAGGATTTACTGTCAATTGGGGGTGGTGGGCAGTTTGAGCACTGCTTTGGAGGAAAATTGCTATTCTCTGTTTATCTGCATTAGTACTCATGTTTTCTGGATTTGAATTGTTTCGTGTCATGTAAGCCGCAGTTTACAGAAGTACCCATGCTCAATTCCTGTCTAACTGCAAAAGGTGATTTGATGTGCTTGTTAACCGAATTACTGGCATCTACTCTTTTAATCGCGGACAGAGAGGGTGCTAAGGAAACTGAGCCTTGTGAGACCCTCTCCAAGAGCTTTTTTATAGAGTAGGACAGTGGGAGGTTTGCATGGCACAGATGCCAACCCCTACTGTAGACATGCTGCACCAGTGTAAAAGCTGACTTGAGCTGGTGCAGCACCCATCCAATAAGGTTCTGCATTGGTGCAGATATATTGGTACAAAAAAAGTCCAATGTATAAAAGCCCTTAGGGTGAGAGGGTAAATATACTGACCATACTCATTTAAGCCTTGAACTTACTCCTGAAACCACCAAACAAAGATGCCTATTGTGCTGTTTGTTCTGAAATTTTAAATCTATCTGCTAGGAACAAGTCTTAGACAACCAGTTTCTTTCACAAAGACTCCTGAACAGCCATCAGATAAGTATAACAGATTTCAGTCACTAACAACTTGAGCCCAATTTGAATTGGCAACCTAAAGTTAAAAGGCCCTGCATTCCTGTATTGGCTTAAAATCACCAAACTTTTGAGTGATACCGTTCCCCAGCATCTTTGTTGTTTTACAAAATAGGCAGTAAATATTCTAATTGGGTGAGGGGGATGTCAGTTTATGAATGACAAAGCAACTCAAACAGGTTTTGGAGTTTAAGGCCTATGATGATTGCATCATTTTATATGGAAGAAAAGGTGACCGTTTTAAATTTAGAATTGAAAATGCTGACACATTAGGAGAGGGATTAGCAGAAGAATTATAATGTATCTGACATACTAAAAGAGAAAAAGGCTTCCATCAGTAATACTGAATCATATGTAGGAGGGGAAGAATTATTACAAGTCGAATATATAGGGGGACAAAGATTAGAATGAGTCTGACATAAGGGGAGGAGAGTTACCATGCATATGACGTAAACATAGAAAATTATAGTGCGACTGATCTGGGTAAGATTTATGGGGAAATGACTGTTGTTTTGCACCATGTAATGTAAATTATCGAAGCATAACAATCTTATTTTTTTATTTCTTAAGTACCCAATAAATCAGGCTATAAATTTAAAGCAAAGTAACTTTCAGGAGAACTAAAATAAATTTACAATACAGTACATTGTCTTTATAGGTAGAAATACTAAAATAAATTGTATTCAAAGGGTTGGTGCATTGAAGTTTTTAACTAACCAGGAAAACATCTGCACATCAATAATCTGGAATAATCACATATTTTATTGAGTAATTACTCAAGAGGATATTAGATTATATTACCAACTTTCATTTCAATAGCAGAAAATACCTATTCTAGCAAATGATGTGCTTATTTTTCTGCAAATATGACTCATTTTATAAAATGAGCAAGGTAATTATCACTGGAGGATAAAGAATCAGCCTAGACAATATATGATTATATTTAAAAGCCGAAAGCAAAATTCCCATTGAACTTTGACAGTTTATAGTAGTTATAATTTTTCCTTTCAAAGGATTTAAAATGAGTCCACTGAATTTCTTGCTGTTTGGGAAACTGACAAAAGGCTTCAAAAGGTGTTTCCATTCAAGTGGATTTTTAAGATGCATTTATTACACCAGTGCAGTTGTTTTCTCTTAATCTTATCAAATACTAAAAATCAATTAACTGATTCTTCTGGTGAATTAAACTGCTTACCTTTGAGCCTCGCTCATTAAAAATAATTTCAACATCTAAGATTTTACCAAATTGCTGAAAAGAAATAGAAAAATCACATGAACATAAGAAAATCTGAAAACATCATAACAGAGATGTAGCAAAGATATTTCATAGTATTAGAAGATTTAGTACCTCATATATAGAAAGATATTAAACTACAGGCCAGTCAAGCAATAAAAAAATGACAAACTGAAGAGTAGCTGAATCAAATGCATGTTGTGATGAGCCTGATACATAGCTAAAACTGCACCACTACTATTCTGCATAATCAATAACAGCAATTAAAATATAGTAGCACCTGCTGACTGTGAACCACGCTATGGTTAAACTCATATCACAGTGCCGTTAAAGAGAAAAGTTGGTGAGGTAATATCTTTTATTGGACCAACTTTTGTTGGTAAGAGAGACAAGTTTGTGACCGTACACAGAGCTCTTCTTCAGGCCTGAAAAAGAGCTCTGTATGAGCTTAAAAGCTTGTCTTTCTCACCATAAGAGGTTGGTCCAATAAAAGACATTACCTCACCCACTTTGTCTCTCTAATACCCCAGGACCAACAGGGCTACAAAAACACTGCATATCACAGTGAAGTGAAAGTCCCAACATTTTACTTACTTTTTAATGGCTTTTCAGTCCTCTTATAATGATGTTTCAGTATACGTAATATCCCACTGTGCAACTCCCCTTGGAGTGCAGCAATCACCACCCACCAGACAGGTATTAATTGTTGCATTTAAAGGTGATTATCACCTCCCACTCATCCTCAGAGGAATATTAGCCCCTTGGTCTTGTTCTAGTTGCTCCCAGTGAAATGAAGAGGAATAAGGACATATTTGCTACAGCTTCTTCTGGCTGTGAGTAAAGATACAGGGTGAAATCCAGGCTTTATTTAAAAATCAAATGGGAATTCTGTTATTGATTTCAGTGGAACCAGTATTTTACCCATATCTTCTAAAAGGATACACCACAGCTTCCAGTGCCCCCTCAAAGAAGATAAAGAGAGACACCTCCTCCAGTGCTGAGTTTTTCCCAAACAAGCCCTGTCCTACCTTAGTGAAACTCTGTTACTTGTGCGTGGGAATAAACCGTACATCTTATAATAATAATTACTATTATTATTGGTGTTATCATAGCCCTAGACACTGTCCAAACACGCAAAAACGCACAGGTTCTGTCCCAAAGAAAGAAGTTTCACTATACCTGCTTTGGTAAAGGGAATGAATGCTAACCCTGGGCAGTATTTAGTATGGATAAGTCAGAAAAATTTTTGATGCAACACGTTTTATGATGTGACACTTTCCAGTACATCACTCAATGTGTCATATTCTCCTATTTCATGTGTCACTAACATGTCATGTGAAGCAGTGTAACTCTGGTGAGGCAATGTAAGTGACAAACAATATACTACAATGGAAAGACAAAACAATGCAGGCAGAAGCAGAATAACCTAGTGAGTGTACAATATATTACAGAAATTAGACTCTACTCCAGTCTACTAAGTACCTTAAGATATGGTAAATACATCCATGACAAGAAAGATAGAGTTCCTTTTATCATTTTAACTTTTTAGAAAAATCAGCACACTCTTGTTATCCTTTGCCTTACCCCCCCAGTTACATTTATCCTCCAAGTAACAAATGTATTAACCGCTATTGTTAGCTTATAAGCAGACAATTGTCTAATGTTTAAACTATAATTGGTGTATATATAAAGCCAGGTGAAGTTGGAAAAACAAAACCCAAACTAGTAAACAAGCCTGCTCTCCTCAACTCATGCGCCTAAAAAGAAATCATGTTCATAACAGGATCAAGGTGCAAAGGATGGTTTCAATATCAGGCTTCATTTCAGAAACTTCACTAGAATTCGCAATGATAGGAATTTGAATTTCCCATCAGTTTAGAAACTCAGATTTCTCTGCACTGTCCAGGTTGGTTTAACAATGAACAACTGAAAAACTGAATTTGCTGTTTTTTTTAGGAATCTTTTTGTCTCAGATTGCAACTGGGAGGCTTAATGCAGCTATAGCTCCAATAGTGTTACTGTTACCAAGTTGTATAGAAGCTGGGGAATTCCTGCAATCTTCCAATTTGAAAGTAAGATTTATTTGAGTTTTCTGAATCCTAAAAACTTGGAATGAAAAACACAAATTAAATTTAGTTTGTGTACAGTTGGATTTTAACACACACAAAACAACTCTTGTATTTTGTGCATTTAGAAACAGAATCCACCTGCTTTCTGAGTTGTTTTATTTAAATTTAATTTTATCTGATTAACATACATTTATCCTAGGGAGTTCTCATATGTCATCAGATGCTTTACAATTTTGTGCTCTGAAATGTATGGCATCAGATACACCTTTGTATTTGGTGGGGGGAGAGTTGCTAGGGCAATTCCGATATGTTTATGTGAAAATATCCTTTTTTCTCCACTATCATGTCAGGATTTAGTTCTTAGTAGATATTTAAGTAGTTACTTCTTCTGCTCCATTAGACTGTTAAAAAAAACAAACTAGAAGATAAATTCATTATACTATATAATGAATTTAAGTCAATTACCTGACATATTTTGTTCCTTCTTGTCTTTTAATGGGACTCTGTTATTAAGTGGGACTCTATATCATATATTAAATAAAACTCATACACAATATAAATATATGTGTGTGTGTGTGTGTGTGTGTATTATATTTTCATACCCACATAAAATAACTGCAGGTTCAAACTCTAGTACAATATCCTGCTCCAGCATAAGGGTATCTGTGAGTTATTTATGTTTATTAAGATGATATGAATAGGTGCAAAAAAAGGCAGGTCCAGTACTGGAGTATCATCTGGCCATGTACAATTCTTTGTGAAAGGAGGCTAATAATAATGCAGTTGTTAGGCCAAGTAATGCCTATTTTTTACTGCTATGCTTTTAAAGATCCACAACCCCTGGTGTGGAATTCAAGGTGAACAGAAGACTTCACAAGAGAGTATGTAAGTGTGTAATAAGTTAAGCCAGTATTAATTACTTGCTTTCTTAGAGTACGAAAAGATATGATATTCTGGAGATCTACCATCACATTATAGCTCTGTAGAGTACATATAGTATTGTTTCTCCTTACAAGTAGGATAAGCAAGTCAGGGAATTAGTTATGAGTAATGGGGGGGGAAGGGTCTTACAATGGAAAGCATTATGTAATCTTAACTTTAGGTATTGCTGCTAGCTCCACCTATAATGTAAAGGTAATGCTTCTTTTAAAATGTGACAATAATAAGCATGCAAACAAAAATATAATACTTACCCCAAACATTTGTCTGAGATCTGGATCTCGAAATCTGAAGGGTATATTTGAGACATGCAGCCGTTTCGGCTGTGATTTGTTTTCTGTGTTTTCAGAGGATTGTGTCTGTTGCTGGCCGTCAGTCTGTGCTGCATCATCTGTCTGCTAAAAGAATTAAAGCAAAATAAAGTAAAACATGCTCTAAGTATTGCTCTAGTTTTAGATATAAAAATAGTGGTGGGTTTAACTCTCAGGCAAGACACACAACTGAAAAGGAAAGAAGGAATCATTCAAACAATAATGTAAAAGAAAATCCGAAGTTAGAGATGTGAAATATCTGTTAATTCACCTAGTCCATTGTTACATCTATTTCAACATCATAGAACTTGGAAAGGAACAAGCAGTATGGGGAAGAAGAATGTAAACAATTATGTTACATTTTTAAATGTTTTTAAATAAATGAAGAATAAATATTTATCTCTGAATTAAAACATTGTGGAAACACCTTTATCCTCCATCACTGTTTTCCGAAGGAAATTGAAGCATCATGGCCAGAAAACAGCCTAGCAGTAATAGCACATTATAAACCAGAGTAGAACTTGGACCTTTATGCAGAGGCCAATAAGGACTTTCACTCAACTCCAAGAGGGAGGAAACACATCATGCCATACTTGCCATTTCATAAGCAGTTAATGGGCTTTGGAGGGTAACTTTATCTAGAGGAACAGTCACTATTACTGAAAGGCCTTGAATGTTCAAGGGAAGCAATGTAACACGTTTCAATAATGCCCAAGATAAAGATGAAACCCAGAAATTAACTTCTGAAGAGTTTCACATAGGACCAAGAACATGTAGTGTTCATCAATGGCATGTCTATGGGAATTCTATACTGCAGTTTTTAAATGAGATCTTACATTTGGATTACATCACAGTTGAAGTTTGTTTCAGTTTAAAAAACCTAATTAGGAATTAAAAAAAATATTATTCAAACACATTGAATTATTAATAGCATATCAGTCAACTGAAAATTAAAATTTATCATCTTTAGTCAAACAATACTTGGGAGAAATCTCTGTGCATTTCTTTGATGACAACATATAGGGCCTAATTAATCACTCTGTAGCATATGTATATGCACAAGTAGAAGCATTTATGAATGTGTGTGTAAGTTAGAAGCTTAATTTTTATATACATATAGATTCACACAAGAACACAAGGTTAGAAAAGGGAAGAGGAAAGACAATGCAGCAGGAGAAAAATGGAAGGATGCAAATAGAAAGACCTTTAATTTCCCCTTCTCTTTCACTTCCTTTCCTGTCACATGCCTCTTCTATATGTTCCCTTTGCTAGTTTTTCAGTTGTCTTCTACTGTTGCTGTTTAACTACTATTTCTCATGTATACACTTTTTTTAAATATTAAAAAGTATCCCACTTCCAGCTAGCAACACCAAACTCATCTCTCATGGCTTGAGTGTCAGCAGGCTGTATTTCATTGGTTGAAATTTTAACTGTGATGGACAATAGTTTTTAATCGTGAGAAAAGCAAACGTATCATGCTGTTTAACCAATAGGTAAAACAGGCTGTAACAGGGCAATCTGCCCCTTTAAGGGCCAGAAGACTTGGGACCAGCCAGCCCTGTTTGCAAGCAGAGCACCTTTAAGAACATGTTTGGGCTCAGTGGAAGGGATTATAACAGGGGTCAGGTGATTCCTATAAAGCACTGAAAGAGCTCAGCTGGAGCTACAGGAAGCAGAGTGGTGAGAGACATGAGGAAAGGCCTCTGGGTCCCTACAACCTACTTTGGTCAAGGCATACCTTGTTTCAGTGTTACGTTGTGAATTTTTGTTTGAAGACAAAACTGTGCCCTGAAGTAAGGGCCTGAATAGACACTCTGCGTGGCATTTAATCTTTCCTAGGCTGGGGAAACAAGCCAACAGGCCTACACAGGTACTCAGATAGCATGATTAGGAGGGAGGTAAAAGAACCTGAATAGAATAGAATACAATGTACAATTACGTTGAGGTTTGCAAGTAACAGAGTTACTTTTAATTTCATAATGTTCACCATCACCACATTCTTCTTAACTGCCTTCAACTCTTAAACTAAGTGTAAATAAAATCTCCAAGTTCATCTCCTTGTATTTTCTTTACTTCTGTACAAAAGAAAAACCTTCCAGAAAATAACCAGACAGGAAGACAGAGGCATATTGTGTGCAATTTTTCTTTTTTAAAGTCTCGCAATACCCTCAGAATATATGCAACAAAAAAAAAAAGACTCTGCAAGGCTGCACCCTGCACCTGCATGGAGCCCCACTGTATGCAGTCACTTCTGGCACTGTGGCCTAAATGGACATGACAGACAATGGGCTGGATAGAGGAAGTATTGTTAACTGAGGCACAGAGAGATCAAGTGAATCTCTCTCAGGGTATGCGCAGTGTGCCCAGCCATTTGATAGTATCATCATCAGCCAGGTGAAGAGCCAGTAGCCTGCTGTCAAAGTAAGTCAGTGGGCCCTCGTCAAGCATATGTGACAGTCTGAAGTTGACCGCATCTACATTGTGGGTCATTAGAGAAACCCCATTTGAAGAGATTAGCCGCACAATTGCCCTGTCCTGTCCAAAACCAGTTCTGGGATGACCACAGGTGTCTTGGCAAGTCAGAACCTGGTGGGCAGATGTTTGGATTGGTGACGAGACAGTGATTAACGACTGTCATCACTGACAATTTGTTATGCCAAGCAGATTCCACCATCATGTCCTGTGGTGGTGTAAGTGACCATAAAGGGCGTCTAGAAGACAGGCGAACTGGCAAGATAGTTGAAAAGGTCTGAGTACAGAAGCAAGTTGCTCTTCTCATGGATAATGGCCAGGAGCAGGGTGGAGGCCCCCACATGGCAAATATGGGGTCGTGCTATGTTACTAAGTATTGGCAGCAATGGCAACGGAGTTGCATGTAAAGTCCCGGTAACAATGCACATAGCTTTGTTAAGCTCTACATCGACCAGCCTTGCGTGAGATGAGCAACACCAGACAGAAGCATAGTATTCTGCTGTTGACTAGTAGAGGGCACGTGCTGACGATCTAAGTGTCCGGATGCTTGCATTCCAGGTTGAGCCACCCAGTTTTCTGAGCAAGTTGTTCCGAGAGCTAACTTTGGCCGCTGTCTTCTTCAAGTGGTTGCGGTACATCAATGACCTATCCAACGTCATGCTGAGGTAAACCGGATGTGAGTTATGCTGCAAGTGTTGGCCATTTAAGAAAATATGTAACTCATGGCTTGCGCTTGCATTATGCAGATGAAATACGCTAGAAACCATCTTACAAAAGCTTGGCTGCAGGTGCCATCGAGTACTGTAGTGTGCCATGAGCTTTGTATCGTTGTTCAGGGCCTTGTCAATTTCTGAGAAGGACTGAGCTTGCTAGCTGCAGCAGATTAAAAAAAAAAAATTTAATGGCAATATCCCATCTCCTAGAACTGGAAGGGACCTTGACAGGTCATCGAGTCCAGCCCCCTGCCTTCACTAGCAGGACCAAGTACTGATTTTGCCCCAGATCCCCAAGTGGCCCCCTCAAGGATTGAACTCACAACCCTGGGTTTAGCAGGCCAGTGCTCAAACCACTGAGCTATCCCTCCCCCCAATGTCGGCATAGATAAATTTGCATGAGCGTGCTGCTGGCAAATCGCTGATGTACACATTGAACAGTATTGGTGAAAGAACTGAACCTCGAGGAAGACTATTAATCTGACACTTCCAGGAACTGCAGGGGTCGCCCATGTGTACTCAGAGGCACCTGTTTTGGAGGAAAAGCTCTACTACTTCGACCACCCAACGTAGGGCAACTCAAGAGGGGTTACATAGTAGGACTCTGTGCCAAACTGTCATAAGTGGTGGTCAAGTGTATTAATACGGCTCCTGTCTTTAGATTTTGTTGAAAAACATTTTTGACAAATGTGGCCAAGACTTAAACTCAGGCACTATGTCCTTTCCTGAACTCTGTGTGGTCAACCTGAAAGACATCGTCCAACTCCAGAGTAATTTGTTGGAGGATCAAGCACTCAAACACCTTAAAACACCCTGACAGCAAGGATATTGGGTAGTAACTCGCCATGCTATGGGGGTCCTTGCCTGGCTTGAGAATGGCAATAATCTTTGCTTGACGCCAAGTGCATGGTAGCTTGGGTCAAGTGAATGACCCAAGTTCACACAGCTTTAACTGTTGTTTAGCATATTGTTTTGTAGTTTTCATATATTCTGAGGATACTTCAAATATTCAAGTGTATTTCACATGGGTGCAGGGATGTGTTTACAACAGTTAATTGCAGGATTGGGACCTTGGACTGTTAAGCATGGACTGACTCTTACTATGTGTTTGTATAGCATCTAGCACATTGGGGTCCCCATTTCAGAGCTTCTAGGTACTATTGTAATACAATGCAAATAAAATAATACCATCAAATTGCATATTTTGTCTGTGTGCACAGCCTTACACAGTTTCATTAACTAAGTAATAATCTCTCTCTCTTTCCCTGTTAGTCTCCTATCAAGTGTGATTTGGGCTCACTGTTTTGAAACAACATACACAAAACTTAAGAACAAAACTGGGCAATGTGGCCTCGCCTCCTCTAGACAGGGGCGGCTCTAGGCACCAGCAAAGCAAGCAGGTGCTTGGGGCAGCCCATTTGCAGGAGCAGCAGGGATCCAGCATGGGAGCTGAGAACCAACAGGGGGCCCTGGGAGCTGTATTTCCTTGGTTAGCTCCCTGCCTATAGAGCCAGCCCTGGAGCAGGGAAAGAACTACATTTCCCAGCATTCCCTTGGCCACTACCAACAGGAAAGAGGAGGAGGGAGTGAGGAAGCTGAGACCTCACGTTGCAGCCTGCTGTGAATGGAGAGCTCCACTGTGAGTAGGGATACCATATTTTAACATTCAAAAAATAGGACACTCCATGGGGAGGGAGGGTAACCCCACCCTGCCACCATCCACTCCCTCCGACTACCCCCCACAGAAACCCCAACCCATCCAACCCCCCTGCTCCCTGATCATCCCCTCCTGGGACCCCTGCCCCAACTGCCCCCCAGGACTCCACCCCCTATCTAAGCCCTACTGGTCCTTGTCCCCTGATTGCCCCCTCCCGGAACCCCACCCCCATCTAAGCCTCCCTT